AAGGTGTTGGAGTGGGAGGTAATGACATGTGCAAAGGTCCTGAGCTGGGAATGAGCAGAGTATTTTCCAGAAAATAATATTCTCTATCTATATCATTTTTTCATTTTCTTTTGCATCATGGGAGATATTTTCAAGCTTGTCCTTCAAATAATCAATGTTATGTTCTGTAGGATTCTTTTTGCTCTTTATTGATTTTAATATTCTTGTACATTTTGCTGTAGAGAGTTTTCTGAGTTTGGCCGTTTCTCTCATTTAAAAAAATCCCCTTCTCCTTACCTTTACCCAAACATTTTATGAAATAGGTATTCTTTTACCAATATTACATGTAATAAATAGAGGTTTAGTGAAGTTAAAGAATACTTATGGTTACCTAGCTTGTAAAGTCTATAAAAGGCAGTTTATGCATGACTAGGATATAGGGTAATAGCTAATTTTCAGGGCTATTTTATTGCTAATTAGGGTATATACTAATTCTCCTGGTATCAGTATGTTTCCCACTCATGTCAGAGAGGATAGAATGTCAGATCAACAAAACAGTTTACGAAAGTCTAAAAAAAACACCCCCCCCCCCCCCCACTGTTTTCCATTTCCTAAAACTGGAGCTAAATAAACTTGATTTCTTTGTTTTGTTTAGCAATTTAAGTTTCTGGAATTACATTAATCAACAAGTCTCTCACAAATCATCAATTCATTCACTCTTCTGTAGAATACTTATATGTAAACAAAGCAATAATCCATACCTCAAATATCAGAAGTAATCCTTTTCTGTAATTATGGACAACTTTGCTTTAAAAACAAGAATAGATTTGTTCCAAAGTTAATCGTATTAGAACGGACTAATTAATTCTAACTCTTCATTGTGGAATGGAAAGTGCCAGCCAACTCGCACAACTCCGGAGATTCTATTGCATTTTTAGGGCTCGCAAATTATATGTTTGTTTCAAATGCCTTGTTTTCCTTAAGCAGACATTAGTCTTCACCTGATTTATAGGAATAGTCAGTTCAGGTTACTTGTATTTAATGTTGCCACTTCTGAAGTGAGCTGCATCCTACATCTACTATTTCATAGAAAAGTCACGGAAAAATCTCAGAGTTTGACTATGTCAACTAAGGATGATAGAGGTGATTTTTTAAGAAAAGTTCTTTTGACAAGTATTATGGAAAAGAATTATACAGTTTTAATAAAACTTCAAGAGAATAGGATGGTATCAGGGATATAAAATAGAGGAAAAAAAAAAAAACCCAAATTGCTGAGGTTCCGGAGAAAAGAATGGCCATGTTTGTGTATTCCTATCAAATAGCCTATTTTGTGGGATCTTTATAATTCAGAATGTATTGTGGTTTGAGAGAAGGAGGGTAGCATTTCACTAGTTATTTACTCTATGACTGCCTCATTCCAACAAAAACATAATTCTTTGCATAACATATCCTCTTTTACTTAAATTCCCACATGGAATTCATCAGACATGATAAAATAATGTACTTATTCCTTTTCAGATCTTGGGGAAAGATAGCTCTACTTTAAAAGTGTAACCAAAGCATAATTTATTTTGCAAGTCTTTGATTTTGTACTTTTGTCTATCTTTCCTAGAGGACTTTGCATTTATTAACCAATAAATATATTTCATGGAATTTAAAATGTTTTAATAAATTATTTTAGAGTTTAATAAAACAAGTAAGAATTGCTTACACTAAAGATCAACATCAATTCATCAGCTGACATTTATTGTACCTGCCACTTTGCCGGTGATGTGGGTGATCTAAAAGGTCCTTGACCTCCAGAAGGCGAGTAGACAAAGCGTGTGACAAAAGTAGAAAATGATGAAGTGCTGAAAACAGAATGAGACTCAGAAGAGTTCAGAGAAGTGAGAGATTGATATGTATTTACGCTGAACGTGAGATTGACTTAGAGCTTTAAGAATAAGTAATATTTAGAAAGCACCAGAGGAAGTGATTGGTGGAGGTAAAAGGAAGTAATATGAATTAGGCACGGTTGTGAAGTGAATATGTCACATTAAATAGAAAGTAATTATGCCTAAGTAGAGCAAAGGTTTTGTGTTGAAAAGTAACAGAATATAAGATTAGAAAGGTATGTTGACTGAAATTTAGTGGATCAAGAAAGCAAGGAAGAGCGTACGTTTTGGTGTATTACTAAGGACAATAGAGAGCCATTGTCAGTTTTTGAGCAAAAAGAAAAAAGCTATATGTTTACAATTTTTTTAAATAGTAGTCTTGGTTACAGATTAGAATAATGGAGAAGAGAAAGAATCAAAGACAACCTTGAGTTAGGGTAGGAGACACTCTCCAGTTTTGTGAAGAAGAATCTTATCTTTGAGAGTGCACTACAATGTCCAAGTTTACATTGCATTCATAGATATTGCTTATAGAGGAAATCTATTGTTGAATTCTAAAGTAGAGTCTTTAATGTCTTCTCTTATGTTACATAGTTTTGTAACTGAATTGGTCATTCTTATCAGAAATACCAACAATTTACTGCATGACTCTTGGATTCTTGGCACTGTTAAAAGAACTCAGAATTTTACAGAACAGAGACACATGGCAATGTCTAGATAAGGTGCATCAAACAAACATATAAGACCATCCATCTTTGCCCATCAACAAACCGGCTTCTTTACGACTGAGTTTAAATATTGTCTTCTCTTTGAGCGCTTACCAAACATCCCAGAAAGAAATGGCTGCTTTTCACAAATTTCTTAATCCCATCATAATTTTTATTGCATTTTTTTGTGTGTGTGAGGAAGATCGTCCCTGAGCTAACATCTGCCGATCCTCCTCTTTTTTTTTTGCTGAGGAAGACTGGCCCTGGGCTAACATCCATGCCTGTGTTCCTCCACTTTATATGGGACACTACCACAGCATCGCTTGCCAAGCCATGCATCGGTGTGCACCCGGGATCCGAACCCGCGAACCCCGGGCCACCGCAGCGGGAGCGCGCACACTTAACCACTTGCGCCACCAGGCCGGCCCCTATTGCATTGTTTTAATGGTCTTTAGTGTCTTGTAGTGTTTTTCCTGATCTTTATTGTGTTTAATATTATTTAAGATCTTCTCTGGCATTATTCATTTAAAGATGGTGTGTGTCATTTAGATTATGAGCACTCTGAGGCTAAATCAAGGGCAAAAGCAAGAGATGTTTAATGAATCTGTACTTATCTGCAACTCTTGGTATACGGTAGAAACTCAATAATATTCATAGAATGAATAAAATAGTAAATATTTTCCCATCTTCCATAAGTACTACTGGGTTGATATCGTGAATATTCATAATAATGATTACTTTTTAAATGGGGCTAACAGGGAGACTAATGAATGCTCTTTTGTTCAAAAGGTCATAAGTTAAAAGTTAGAAAAAATAATATAACATACACGTGAGGAGGAAAACACTCTTCCATGTGTGAACATGTATGTATACTCCCTGATAATATACGCTTGATACTCAATATGTGATGGTTTTGGTATAAAATGTTATACTCTTCAAAAAATAAACAACGAAGTTAAGAAACAGGGAAGTGCCCAAGATAAGCGGCCAGGAAGAGTAGAGCATATAGGTAGAACTGAAAGAGAAGATCAGTAGCAAGAAAGAAGGTACAGTTTGTGAAACGTAATACAGTTTATGAAGACCCATCAGAGATTTTCACAGAATTCAGTGTGTTCCAAGTGGCATGCGAGTGTTAATGGGAAGAGAAGAGAACATCTCGGATATGATAACAAGTCTTAATAATCAAGGCACTGAGTTAAATTGATGGCCTACACAAATGGGATATAGTATTGCAGATAATATAAAAAGGTAAATTATTCGCAAACTATTATTTTTTAATTTAAAATATTTTAAATATCTAATAGTCTGTATTAGATAGTCTAACAGTCTTTGAACTCATAATATACATAAAATGCATAATATATTATCTAATGTTCTCAGAACTCAGTATATGTTTCTAAATGAAACCAGATGTGAACAACTGTCTCAGAGGAATGAGAGGAGTTGTGTGGAATCCATGTCTTCTTTGCCTAACTTTTCCCTGGTACATATATCATGCTGAAAATTGTCAACATCCTCTCTGAGACTACATGAAGGAAACTGGTGTAAGAGGAAGGTAATATTTACCGAGGATCTACCACATATCATAAGACTGGATTAGATAGTTCATATTCTTTATCTCATGTTCATCTCCATAACAAACCTGTAATATTGGTGTTATTATCCCCACTTTATAAAAGAAGAAACTGAGAATTGGACAGGTGATGAAATGTGCCTAAGGTCATCCAGCTAGTAAGCGGCAGAGCTGGTGTTCAATGGCGGAGCACAAGCTTGTTTCACCGCATTGCACTGGCCTCACTCATAAAATGGCAACCAGCTGAAAAATGAAGTCAAATCATTGTTTTACCTATATCTCCATAGAGATTTCAGTTATTTTGTTTTTTACTAAATATATTGGAGGTTTGATAGAGAGATACGTCTTTCAGATCCATGCAAAAAACAAACCTAAACTGAATTGTGCTTTAGAAAATAAATTTTCTGCTTTCTCAATCACAGTTTCCTGCACGGAGAGATCACTGGATTTTTTTTAACATCTAAAACATACTTTGCAGTGTGGAGAAGCATATGGGATTAAAAATAGAAAGGTGATGACTATACAAAATTGAAAGCAAGTTTTATTGGATTATGTGTGATCGCAGGAGTTAGCTGCAGATAGCCTTCAATCTTAAAAGATCTAAAGCATATATGTCCCAGAAGAGTGCTTGGTATACTGTACACAATCAATACTTTTTCACAGAATAAATGGATACCTTATGATATCAACATCAATGGATGATCCAGGGCAGATTGGTAAATTTTAAATTCTCTCTAATTAAAAAATCAAAGTATATCTTAATGAAAACATCAAAGCAATGATGTTTTGATTGCTTCATTTTATACTTCTTGTAGATAAGCTTAATCAAGATAAAATAAATCAAGTGCATTCGTATTTATTTTCTAGTGCTCAGCTTCTTGTGGTAAAGGTTTAAAATACCGTGAGGTGCTTTGCGTTGACCGATTCCAAGGGAAATTAGAAGAAAAATATTGCAGTCATCTGCAGAAACCTCGAACTCACAAAGCTTGTAGATCTGTCAGATGCCCTTCATGGAAAGCCAATAGATGGAAGGAGGTACGTGATGTATTTTATAACTATATGTGTATTTTTGCATTTAAAAAGAAAATCTTAATTCCTTCTATATGCTTTCAATAACCTTGAAAGTTTTACTCCACTAAAATGTGCTTTATTTTCTTATAGTTTTTTTGCACTATGCTCTGAATTGATACTGTACAGTGTTAATACATTTGCTAAGTCTATGGTTAAATAATAAATTGGTTGCTTGATTTTTTTTTTTTTTTTTTTGGTGAGGAAGATCAGCCCTGAGCTAACCTCCATGCCAATCCTCCTCTTTTTGCTGAGGAAGACTGGCCCTGGGCTAACACCTGTGCGCATCTTCCTCCGCTTTATGTGGGATGCCGCCACAGCATGGCCTGACAAGCGGTGCGCACCAGAGATCCGAACCCAGGCCACCAGCAGCAGAGGATGCGCACTTAACCGCTACACCACGGTGCCGGCCCGGTTGTTTGAATTTTTTGTGGCTGTAAACTTTACAAGAAATTCTGTTACTGAAGCCTACAGGGATACTGATGATCATATTGTTGCATGTAGTCTAACAGTAAAATATATACGATGATGTATTTAGTAAACACCTTGTTTCCACACCAAAGTCCTGGATTTGAGCTAAGGTTGCATCTTGGAGAAGGAACTGGTAAATTCTAGATGGGCTTGTAATTGGAGATTAAGAGTTAGGGAGATGTAAGAACTAGGTAGCCTGGCCTGGTCTAAGGGTAGAGTGGACACACGTTGAAAGAGTCAGCAAAAATGAGGCTGATCCATAGATGAGATTCAGGCTGAGAACTCAGTTTATAAAACAAGAGTCATCAATACCTGCCCTGGCATACTCAGAGAAGTAAGCTCAAAATCCAACTTGGGGGAGGCATACATTTGAACGTGGTTGTCAAACAAAGACCAGCTTGGGAATTACTGAAGGGGCAAAAGGCATGAATGAAGTCAGATTTGTTAACTAGCATAATTTCCCGAGGCCTGATTTCAATGGGGCCAGGCTTTCAGCACAGCCATCTGGCTGCCATCAACAGTACCTCGGGGTGCTTATCCATTTCTTAAAGGGCCTAGTCATGCAAAGGGAAAAAGAAACCTCTTTTCCGCTGATGGAACGTCCTTGTCTTTTTCTAAAGTTGGAGCTATGTCTGTTAGGAAGATAGGGGTTCAGAGAGGAGCTAGGAGAAGTGGGGTGCCCCTGGGCTCCCAAGTCATCATCATTCACTCTGTGAGGTCAGAGCCTTGGTGCAGCGCACCGGCTTTTGAGTGTCACTGAGTCAGCACATCATTGTTACTGAATAAAAAGCTCTCAAATTGAGTGAGTATCCCAGGTTTCTTTGTAGAAGAAGTCACCTTTGTCAAGTATTAAGGTGTTGAGAATTATGGTTAATATTTGACTGAAAACTAGAGGCAAACATGTCTCTGTTTTTCATCTCACCAAAAACATATGTTCTTGAGCCTTTGCTTCTATGTTGAGTTTTGGTAAATAAAATTATTTTTCATGCTTTAGCAGAAGCCATAATTTAAAAGATCTCCCATTAACCTGTTTTATTCAGTGAATGCCACTGCTACCTACTAAGTTATTCAAGAAAGAGACATTGGATCCATCCTGTCTCCTCCTCCCTTGACTCCACAGTTGATCACTCAACAGGTTCTCTCAATTCTCCTATCAAAGTGACTCTTGAATCTCCATTGCAACCACCCCAGTCTAGTTCGTCACCACCTGTTCCCAGGTGTACAATGATCTCCCTACATGCATTTCTGCCATTATATTCTTGCGTATAGTCTGAACTCTAGAAGAAGTCAAATATTATTGTGTCTCTTTCAGGGGTATGTCTAAAACCTAACCCACGCCTAGTTCTTCAGCTGTATCTCATACCCCCAAATCTTCACGACAACGGATACCTTGTTCACGAAGCACCTACATTCATATCTAGCTAATTACTTCTTACTTTGAATACTGTGATTTAGTTGCAAAAAAGACTCGCTATCTTGTAATTTCTTAGTTATTTGCCATAGTATGGTTTTGCTTAAAGTGGGGGTTTGCATTACTTTGTCTGGGCCAAGGTGTGGCAGGATGATGGCAAAGTAGCTTTCCCTGATAGGGTAAAACTCTGTAAAGGTGCTGAGCCCAGCATGTGGCAGATAACTCCCAATTCTGACATCAGGCGGGAGCCACCAGGGGATGAGAGAGGAAGTGGGAGAGATTTTTTGCTTCTTGGCCACCAGCATTCCTGTTGATCCCCAGGATTCCTCTGCTGCCGTGCAGCTGCTGCAGCTGTGGTTTGTATTCATGAGGGACACTTTTGATCCTTGACCTCCAGCCCCACAACAGTGAATCAATCATCAGTGCTAACAAATTGGCCTTGGCTCACCACCAAGTATGAAATTATATAAGATTCACTAAAGGAAAGTATTTCAGGGGTTTCTAAGATACAGATATTAATATTCAAAGGCTATAAAAAACACAGATGCTTTTGTACAGAGTCTGCTTTCTTCTCTTTGAATTGGTTTTCCTTGTCATAGACATTAGCTTCATACACCCACACAGTCCCCAAATCTCTACCAGAAACAAATGACCACTTGTGAAGTCGTCGGCTTTTGATTTATTCTATAAAAAGTACCCACATGAAGTTAACAATTGCAGGCTGTCACTGCACTACATATAATAATATAGTCAACAGAAGTGTAATTTCAGAGGTAGTTACAAGATAATCACTGGTTGCTACTTTGTTCTGACTGCATAAATTGTAACATTGCTTTAATATAATCACTCACTGTAAAATAATTTCATTTTATTACTATTTTACATGATACCTCAAATGGAAAGACTCATTTGGCAAATTGTGACCGCAGAGGTGCTCAATTGAGTTTTGAAGTAACACTCTTCGTTTGGTATTTGATATCATTTTTTTAATGAAAGGATTTAGTAATGCATTTTAATGACTGCTGCTAAACAGGAACAATTAGTGCTATAGAAGGCCATTTGTCCTCTGACTCCAGATGTATACCTTTAGAGGCAAATAAATACTAGAATCATTTAAAAAGAAAAAAAGCATCCCCCCTTCCTGGAACCAGGGGGATATTTTTTTTCATTTAATTTGTCTATTTGGGAACTCCAGCTTCATGTGTAAATTCAAGTGTTTAAAGCCAGCATTGTGCTAGATTCCCCATTGTCTCACGCCCCATCTACTTAGTCCCATCCAAATGCAGTCTTTATGCTCAGGAAAAAAAAATTGTCCAAAGTCATCACCTCCCCTTGATCATGGACAGCTTAGAAAGATACCTAAAGAATCTCCCTCAACCCTATTGAATCTGGAGCCACGTGAAATCACCCACTTGCCTGGTTCCCCTTCTCTGAGACCCATCATTTTCTTTCTAGTATTTTAAGATCAGAGCTGGGACCAAAGGTGATACATGTTCCAAAAGCTCACAATATTTGTGAGATTTGGCCAGTGCCTGCCTTTCCCAAAGTCCCTGATTTGAAAAAATAATTTTGAAGCTGTATGCCAAATGCTAGCACATTTCAATGATTTTATATTTCTGTAATTCCATATTTTCTATAATTCCAAAATATATAAATCTGCATTCTCATATTTTCAAAAATTTCTGACATATATATCTCTTTATAGTATAAAAAATGGTAAATCTTAAGTCCCACAGCCCCTGACCAAGAACCCAGTACCTCTTCATCTCTACCCCCATGTGAAGTGATGTTACTGCTAGTGAAGACAGGCTGGGGTCCGAGGACTTGGAGGATGGCTCTGCTCTGGGGCTCGGGGAGCTATGCTTCTCACTCTTTTCTAGCTAGTGCCAGCAATTCTGTTTTTGCATTTCGATGCCGCCTGGTAACCGTCTTTATCGTCTTTCTGGATACACAAGATGGCCTTTCTTTGAATAGGCCGATGCGACTAACACTCTGGTTTGGGGCATGCATCAAGAAACTGTTCAAGGCAGAAATAATTGTATCTCCGTAAGAAAAGTGAAAAAATGGGAATAGGAAGGAAGTAGCAAGGGACAGTCACTTCCTGCCACTGTGTGAGAGACTTCTGTATTCCTCACAACTGTAGGTATTATTGCATTCATTATGTACGTGAGGAAACAACAGCTTATTAAGTAGTTTGTGCAGGTCACAGGCCAGGAAGTGGTGAGGGGCAAGCATTTGAACACAGGTCTCTTTGAGCTTTTCCTACTCTAGTTGCTGTCATAATTCTTTCATTACTATCATGAGACGTTAGCTCATCCTTACATTTGTTTGAGAAAAGTCTGTTGCATAAATACAAGCTGTATATGGATTTTACACATCACGGGATAATAACCGAGGGTTATTTGATCACATATTAAATATGATGTAGTTGCTTAAATTGTTAGCAATATATTAGGCTACATTAATAGATAGATAGTGTTCAAATCTTTGGCAGTAATAGATTCTGGTCAGTTTTGGAGCAGTGCCTATTCTGGGACCCACAGTATAAGAAGTCTTGACAAATGAGCAAATTCCTAGGGACGCACAATCAAATGGTTACAACTATTCTGTGTCAGTTCCACTGTGTTCAGTTCAAGTAGGAAAAGCGCTGATTACTAGTGGCTTAAACTTAAAGAAATTTATTTTTTACATAACAAAGCAGGAAGGTTGCTGGTTTTCAGTTTGATGCAGCAGCGCCACAATGTCAGAGTGCTGCACTGGCATTTCTGTGACTCTGTTGGTCAACTCCTAAGGTCAGAGAATAGCTGCCACGGTTCCAGGCTTCACACCTTTCTCCTTTCTCACATGAAAGTGAGTTTGTATATGTTCTATGTTGGTAAGAAGGACAGATTCTGAATGGTGGGTAAAAGTTTAATGAAGAATATTTCGGCTCGGGCCGGCTCCGTGGCTTAGCGGTTAAGTGCGCGCGCTCTGATGCTGGCGGCCCGGGTTTGGATCCCGGGCGCGCCCCGAGGCACCACTTCTCCGTCCAGCGCGAGGCCGAGTCCCACGTACAGCAACTAGAAGGATGTGAACCTATGACATACAACTATCTGCTGGGGCTTTGGGGGGAAAAAATGAATAAATAAAATCTTTAAAAAAAAAAAAAAGAATATTTCGGCTCAATAGAAGAAGAGTATTTGCTAACATTCGAGTCACCCAAAGATGGAATGACCACTTTCAGGATATAGTGAACGCACCCAGACTGAGACTACGGAAGTATGGGTTGGTTTGATGGTCATTCATTCACTGTTGCTGAAAAAACGATTTCAGAATTGAAGAGAAATTGGGATTGAGTATTCCTAGAGTCTTTTCTAACTCAAAATGCTCGACTACGACTACATTATGGATTCACTTAAAATACACCATAGTTACAAATAACCAACTACAATGAAATTAAACCTAAATCCATTAATTAGAGATGATAAATAGTGCATTAAAAGAGACAAGTCCACTATTTGCATTTTAAATAATTGTCTATTAAATAGCAGAGTGAGTCAACCTTGATGGGACTATTTTTTCAATGCACATTTCAACATTTCTTTATCTCTGCTCTACAATAGCTAGAATGGCTACAGTAACTGTGGATTTGCTAAAATTCACCTTCTCCACTTCCACTGTCAGGTCTTGAAAGTGCTAGTCTGTACAGTGTTATAGTATATCTATGTGTAAATAGGATATTTGGTTGATTTTCCCTGTCTGAATTGAGTTATGCAATGTTGGTGAGTCAGTGCATTCTAATCAATGATTTGTGTTATACTTCTAATTATAGTCTCACATTGCTTTCACATTAGTTACCTGGATTTTAAAAAAAGATAAAATTTAACATGTTCATAAATATGTAGTTCTATAAAGCTATTAAATAAGAATGAGTATTTGGGGGTTAGAATTTTCTCTTGGAGGCCATTCTAGTAAGCCACTTGAATTAAAAGTGGGTGATTATATCTTCACAACATCTATGACCATAAGAGGAACTGACGGGGGCAAAGGCAATGAGTTCTGCTTTGGAAATGTTGAATTTGAGGTGCCTTTGACATATCTAAGTAGAAGACACATGCAACTTCTTGTAAATAAATGAGAATATAAACGTAGAGCTCAGGGGGTTGGAGGGTGGGGGAACCGGTACAGGTAGTCAACAGGCAGAAACTTCCAGTTACAAGATGAATAAGTACAGGGAATGTAATGTACAACATGATGACTATAGTTAACACTGTTGTATGATATATAGGAAAGTCGCTAAGAGAGTAGATCCCAAAAGTTCTCATCACAAGGAAAAAAAGATTTTTTTTTGTTTTTCTTTGGTATCCATATGAGATGATGGATGTTAACTAAACTTGCTGTAGTAATCATTTGACAATATATGTCAGTCAAGTCACTATGCTACACACCTTAACCTTATACAGTGCTGTATGTCTATTATATCTCAATAAAACTGGAAAAAAAATGAAGAGCTCAGAATTATGATCAAGGCTAAAGAGAACAGATTTAGAAATTATTGGTGCATAGAAGAAATGGCTCAGAGAGAACTCAGAGAGTTTAAAGAGAAGCAAGTTCTAAACAGAACCCTGGGATATGCTAACATTTAAAGGCTGGACAGAGAAAACAGAGTCAGTTAAGGACTCGGGGAAGGAGAAATTTAAGTAAGAAGAGAACATGTGGAACCAGAGGGATTTCAAACACAGAAGCCAGAGTGGCTTAACAGAAAGTGGTCAATGGTGGTGAATGTGTCAGAGTAACTAAGAAAAGATTTGAAAAATTTTGGTTGGATTTGGCCATTAGGGTTATTGATGACATCAGGCTAAGAAATATTTCATTTAAGTAATAAATTCTCTGTGCAAATCTAAAATCACATATTTCACTCTTTTGTACTCTTATCTCTAAAAAACTGGAAAACAAAAGTTACTTGTTTTCTTCCAAGCAGTAGGCCTTTTTCTTTTTTTTTTCCTTTTAGGGAAGAGGTCCATAAGAGTTGTTACCCATGATCTCAGTGGATTTTTCTAAACTCGTGATGTGATCAAAGGACCAATGAACCACTATGGTTTATTGTATTATAGAAAATTATGTTTGTTTGATAGAACTTCTTGCTAAGCTGTGTTTTGTGAATTATTTTTTTCCAGGATTTTTTTTTTCAGGTTTAGAGGCAGTAAGTTTTCCAAATATAGTTTATTTCTGAAATTATCCCTGGAGAATGTTTGCAGGAGCCTTATTTTATAGGCTAAACATTTTCACAAGAGGTTCTGATAAGCTAAACTACATTTTAATGTACTTAATCTTGTGTCCTGCACAATGCACGCTTTAAATTATTATCATCTCCATGCAAAGGAGCTGTAATGTGTTTTGTGAAAACATTCAATGAATTGGCAAAATTCAATTGCTTAAGCATAAAATAATGGTCAATATAAGTTATGTGATATGCATAATGTTCTTCATAGGTTAAAAAAACAACATGAAAATTATCTTTCAAGTCAGTTGTTGCTGCTTATCCATACAAGATAGAAAACTAAATTTTAAAGTGCCTTTAGAGTGAAAATCCAGCAAGTCTATAAGATGAATTCAAGTCTACCAACTGTTGTGGGATTTAAAATTTTTTACATTTATGGTAAAACAATACTCTGCAGATAAATATTTACTGATGTGAAAAAGGAAATTAGTTACTCCGTGACTCCAGCAAAAATAGAGAACTTAGTGAAGAGTCTGATTTTTTTATCCTTATAATACCACAGTTGGGAACAGTGATAGATCTCCAAATATTACTCAATATGACCTCCAGTCCCTTCTAGAATAAGAGTGAATATAACAAAAACCAAACTCACAAATGAAATAAATACCCCTGGATGTTCTCCACACTTTATTAATGTTGGCATCACAGCTCTTGGTTATGGTTAAGCTCTGTTGTTATAGGACCTGGCATTCTAGAGCTGAAAGAGCCCTGAGAGTTTGCCAAGTCCTTATCCATTCCCCAGAGGTAGCACAGTCAGAGCTCAAAGTCTGGAGTCAGAAAGAACTAAGCTTCAGGGACAAATGGATAAAGAAGGTGTGGTATATATACACGATGGAATACTATTCAGCTATAAAAAATGATGAAATCTTGCCATTTGCGACAACATGCATGGACTTTGAGGGTATTATGCTAAGTGAAATAAGTCATACGGAGGAAATCAAATACCATATGATCTCACTCATAAATAGAATATAAGAACAACAATAACAACAACAAACACATAGATACAGAGATTAGACTGGTGGTTACCAGAGGAGAGGGGGAAGGAAGGAGGGTGAAAGTGGTGACAGGGCACATGCATATGGTGATGGATGGTGGTTAGTCTTTGGGTGGTGAACATGATGTAGTCTACACAGAAATCAAAATATAATGATGTACACCTGAAATGTATATAATGTTATAAGCCAGTGTTACCTCAATAAAAATAAATAACTAAATAACTAAAATAAAATAAAAGAAAGAACTGAGCTTCAACCTGCTTCACCACTAACTACAGGCAACATCTCAGGCAAGTGATTTAACAGCTCTGAGCCTCTGGTCCTCAGCTCTGGTACCTCTTCTGCAGAGCTGTTGTCAGGTTTCATAGAGCTGTCCTAAGAAATTTTACAAATAACAAATCATTCTTTGTACAGATAAGAAAAATGAGATCTGGAGAGGTTAAGACAAGGTTTTCTAAGTTTACAGTTTACCCAACCAGCTTCTCAAAACATGTGTCCATTGAAATATAATCATGAATCAACAAATTAGCAAATATTTGGATCCACAAACTATAGTGGGTACTTCAGGTATAAAGATGAATACAGCACAAACTTGGAAATGATTGTTTCTTTGAGGGAGATTATGAGTATAGCGTCAAGATTTAAGTGATGTTTAGAAGCAACGTAGTAGAATAGTTTGGTAAATTTTATAGATATTAAGTATGCTTAAATCAGAAGAGAGGGTTATCAATTCAGATGGAATGGCTCGTATAATATGATTAGCTTGTCATAGTTTCCATAAGACTTGAATAGGTATTGCAAAATAAAGAAAATCTGTCTGTATATTTGTATAGATGCTCCAGACCAGACAATGTTAAAAATACTTATCGTATTATTTTCTATCTAATGCATGATATAATATCAGGTTATATTTAAAAGAAACAAGAAAATATGTCATGGCTCTATTTTGCTGTTTTTACATAATTTGATATTTGTTAGTTAATAGTTCAACCTTTGGGGCTTCTTTGTAGTGCTCTGTGACCTGCGGCTCTGGAGTTCAGAGAAGGGATGTGTACTGCAGGCTGAGAGGCGTTGGTCGAGTGGCTGAAGAAAATTGTGATGGGTCCACCCGGCCTTCTTTTCAGAGGCAGTGTTGGCGTCAGGACTGCATACAGTACCAGTGGGTGGCAGGAGAGTGGCTGGATGTGAGTATTGACAAGTCAACTTTCAAAGACAACTCTCCAATAAAAGAATGTGTTGTTCATTTCATCATTGCGTTTCTAGTGTTCAACATCATGTAAGAAAAAAGAGACACATCGGCCATTGAAGTGCGTTGATGCACAAAACATGCAAGTGAATGAAAGTTTCTGTGATCCTTCAACCAGACCTCCTGCCATCAAAAAGTGCAGGAACCCTCCCTGCAAGTACATTGTGGTAACAGGAGACTCATCACAGGTAAGGCAAAGAAAGGATGTTGTGAATTTTTGCTCCTGGAAAAAACAACTGAGTCTAAAACTTGACTCAGTTGAAACTGGGTCTAAATTTGAATATGGGGGCAGATAATGGTATGCATATCAATCTAAGGAATAAAATGGCTGACAGTCGGATGGTGTAGATAGAGCCATAGTGACACGTCTGTTAAACTCAAGGGCAGTTCTGAAGTGTCAATTGGTGCCAACCGTGAAACTAACTACTGAGAACAGTTTGGTAATCTGTCCTTTCATAGTTGCCTGCTTTTTAAAAACAGCTCTATGAGGATATAATTGACATACAGTAAACTGCATTTTTTCAAGTGTACAGCTTGAGAACTTTTGATGTATGTAGACACCCATAAAACCATTACCATATTCAAAATAAAGAGCATCTCCATCACCCCCAAAAGTCTCCTTGTGCTACATTATAATTCCTTCCACTTCTTCCTCCCCCACCCCACAGGTAACCTAATCTGTTTTTTTATACTACTGATCTGTCACTACATTAGTTTGCATTTTCTAGAGTTTTATATAAATGGAATCATATAGCATGTACTATTTTTTGTCTGATGTACTATAAGTATTTTGAGACTTAGGTTGTAGAATGTATCAATAATTTATTCCTTTTTATTGCCAAATAATATTCCACTATACAGATATCTTTAAGGCCGCTGATCTTTTCCTCTGTGATATCTGATCTGCTATTAATCCCCATCCAGTCTATTTTTTATCTCAGATGGTGTAATCTTCATCTTTAGAAGTTTGATTTCAGCCTTTTTATATCTTCCATGTCTCTAACTTTTTGAACATATTACTATTATTGATAACTTTTTAATGTCCTTCTCTGCTAATTCTAACATCTATGTGTCTGTGTGTTTACAATTTAGGGAATTTTAGCATATTAACGTGTTTGTGCAACCATCATCATGATCTAATTCTGGAACATTTTATGACTCCAAAAAGAAACTCTATACACTCTAGTAGTCACTCCTCATTCCCTCCTTCCCCCTAACCCTAGACAACTACTAATCTATTTTCTGTCTCTATGGATTTGCCTGTTCTGGATATTTCATATAAATGGAATCGTGCAATATGTAGTCTCTTGTGTCTGACTTCTTTCACTTAGTATGATATTTTTAAGGTTCCTTCATGTTGTAGCATATATAAGTACTTCATTGCTTTTCATGGATGAGTAATATTTCACTGTAGGGATATACTACATTTTGCTTATTTATTCATCAGTTGATGGACATTTGGATTGATTCACTTTTTGACTATTGTGAATAATACTGCTAAGGACACTTGCATACAAGATTTTTTGTGGACATACATTTTCTCTTGGGCATGTAGCTAAGAGTAGAATTGCTGAATATTATAATAACTCTATGCTGAATTTTTTGAGGAAATTTCAAACTATTTTTCAGTTATTGCACCATTTTTTATTCCCACTGCCAATGTATGAGGATTCCAGTCTCCTCGTATCCTCATCAACACTTGTTGCAGTCTGTAATTTTGAATATAGCCAGCCTAATGGGTATCAGTGGTATCTCATTGTGTGTTTGAATTGCATTTCTCTACTGACTAAAATAATGTTGAGCATCTTTTTATGTGCTTTTGGCTATTTGTACGCTTCTTTGGAGAAACGTCTATTCAAATCCTTTGCTTGTTTTTTTATTGGGTGATTTGTCTTTTTATTGTTGAGTTGTAAAGTTCTTTATAGATTCTGGGTACCAACTTTTATCAGTTATACAATTTGCAAATATTTTCTCCCATTCTGTGGTCTGTCTTTTCACTTTCTTAATAGTGTCTTTTGATGTACAAATGTTTTTGATTTTGATGAAGTAAAATTTACCTATTTTGGGGGGTTATTTTTACTTTAGTTATCATATCTAAGAAACTATTGCCTATCCAAGGTCATAGAGATTCACACCTACATTTTATTCTAAGAATTTTATAATTTTTAACTCTTACATTTAGGTCCTTCATCCATTTTGAGTTAATTTTTTGTATATGATGTGAGGTGGGGTCCCACTTAATCATTTTGCACGTGGAAAAAACTATTTGTAGAAAAGACTATTCTTTCCTCATTAAATTATCTATTATTGAAGAGTTATTAATGAACTCTCAATTCTATTTCCTGATCTGTGTGTCTATCCTTATGTCAATACCACATAGTCTTGGTTACTGTAGTTTTATAGTAAGTTTTGAAATCAGGAAGTGTGAGGGAGGCAACTTTGTTCTTCCTTTTCAAGATTATCTGGCTATTCTGTGTCCCTTACATTTTCATATGAATCTCAGGATCAATTTGTCATATTCTGTGTAAAAATCAGCTAGGATTTTGTTAGAGATTGCACTGAATCTTGATCAATTTGAGGAATATTGCCATCTTAATAATAGGTCTTCCAATCCATAAACATGACATATCTTTCCATTTATTTAGGTCTTATTAATTTCTTTCAAGGATGTTTTATAGTTTTCAGTGTACAAATCTTGCACTTCTTTGGTTAAATTTATTCCTAAATATTTTACTAACTTTTTATGCTTCTGTAAATGGAATTGTACTCGCAGTTTTATTTTCTGATTGTCCATTTCTACTGTATAGAAATAGAATTGATTTTTGTATGTTGAACACATTCATTGAATCTAACTCTTTTTGTGTGTGGATTACTTAGGGTTTTTTACATACAGAGTATATCAGTTGCACATACAGATAGTTTCACTTCCTTTAAATCTGGATGCCTTTTATTTCTTTTTCTTGCGCAATTTCTGGCTAGAAACTCCAGAACAATGCCGAATAGAAGTGCGGTGAAAACAGACATCCTGGTCTTGTTCCTGTTCTTTAGAGGAAAGCTTTCAGTTTTCACAGTTAAATACGTTTGCTATGATTTTTTGTAGATTCCATTTATCAGTACTCTTTGATTCCTAGTTTTCTCAGTGTTTATGTCATGAAAATGTGTTGGATTTCATCAAATGCTTTTTCTGCATCTATTGAGATGCTCTCGTGGTTTTTGTCTATGTTTCCATTAGTATGATGTATTCCACTGATAGATTTTCGTATGTTGAAACAATCTCACATTCCTGGGATAAATCTTGCTTGGTTATGGTGTATAATCCTTTTTATGTACTTCTGGAATTGTTTTCCTAGTGTTTTGTTGAGGATTTTTGCATCTACATTTATAAGAGATATTGGTCTGTATTTTTATTTTCTCATGATGTCTTTGCCTGGTTTTTGTATGAGGGAAATACTGGCCTCATAAGATGAATTAGGGGGGGCCGGCCCGGTGGCACAAGCGGTTAAGTGCGAGCGCTCCGCTGTGGCGGCCCGGGGTTCGCCAGTTCGGATCCCGGGCACACACCAACGCACTGCTTGGCAAGCCATGCTGTGGTGGCATCCCATATAAAGTGGAGGAAGATGGGCATGGATGTTAGCCCAGGGCCAGTCTTCCTCAGCAAAAAAAAAGCAAAAAAAAAGAGGAGGATTGGCAGATGTTAGCACAGGGCTGATCCCCTCACCAAAAAAAAAAAAAAAAAAAAAGATGAATTAGGAAGTGTTCATTTTTCTTCTATCTTTTGAAAGAGTTTTGGAGGGGTTGGTATTAATTTTTTAAACATTTGGTGGAATTCACCAGTGGAGCCTCTAGTCCTGGCTTTTTCTTTGCGTGAAGGTTTTTGATTATTAATTGAATCTCTTCGCTTATTTTAAGTCTATTCAGATTCTCCCTTTGAGCACTCTACATGTTGCCTCACATATATAGGGTTTTCCATCTGGCCAGAGGGAACAGACACTATATTTGGTCCCAAGTGAGTGCCAGATACAGTGATTCCTAAGTTTTTTGATTGGTTCATTCCTTGGCCTCAGTTGGTGTCCTCACATGTATGTACACACTGGTCAGAATTCTGCCATTCCCTTGGGCTCACCCCTTTCCTTGTTCCAAGACCTGCAAACTCTCTCAAAGCAGTGGGATGGGGCAATTAAGGGGTCACTTTGTTTGCTTCAATCTCCCAGGATCACTATCCTTTATTGCCTAAGGTCCAGTGTCTTAAAAGCCATTGTTTTATATATTTTGTCCAGGTGTTTTGTTGTTTCAGGTTGGAAGGTAATTCTATTTCTTGTGACTCCATTTTTGCTAGAAGCAGAAATCTATTTGCCCGTTTTAGGCCTGGACCTTTAATTTATATTAAATCCCTTACCTATTTTAGACAAATGGTTTTACCCATTACACTGTATGTATTAAGATAAATGTGTACTAACTTATATATAGTTACTAGTAAGTTAAGGATAATAAATGTCCTTTATTTCAGGTAATAACACCTAATATGTTCCATTTCTCCAAAGCTGTGCCTATCGGGAGATAAAGTTTCATTCAATTAAGCTATTCTTAGTAGTGTAATGGAAAACAAAATAGACACTACGAATAGACAATCTAGCCTGAATCTGGATGCTTTCTGTTTACTGTTACAACTCTGGGAAAGTTGCCTAATGTTTCTGAACCTTTGTTTACTCATCTGTAAATGAGGCTAATAAATAGTATTCTTGTGGGGATGATACAGCATAGTATATATTAAGCGCTTGGCAAATAGTAGGCCCTGGTTAAGTTTAAGGGCATCTTCTTCTCCCCTTGTAACTGTGTATTTTTCAGTGTGCAAGTAACTGTGGATTTAGTCACCGACAAAGGATTACATATTGCACTGGAATCTGGTCTACTGAGAAATATAAACTCCACCAGCTTTGGCCTGTGGACTATCGAGAATGCCCTGTGCTGCCTTCCCCTCAGGTTTACAAATGCAATTTTAGGAGCTGTTTGCATATGGCCACTTGGAGAGTTGGAAAATGGAGCAAGGTCAGTGTATAATTATGAATTTGAAACCTTCTGAATGAGGCTTTCTAGGTGTGGGATGCCTGGTAATCTGCATGTCTAACTAGTTCTCAGAGTTATCTCATACCCCTATTATCTAAAAACCACTTTAGCAGTTATTTGTATAAATATCTTATCTCTTTTTCTATGCTTGCTATAACCTGCTTATAAGCAGGGACCATAATTAATACTAATTTCTATTCCTCAGAGAGCCTTGCACAGTGGTTTGCATTTTGAGTAGATGCTCAATAAATATTTATTGGTTAAGTGAAAAACTAAATAAATCTAATGTATGAGTAATAAGTTACTTGCACTGTATTCCATTTCCAATTTAATTGATAGAAAGCAAGAAAATATTGCTTTGCAAATGTAGCATATAACTATGAGAAAAAACTCAGTAGTCTTAATAATCATCATTAATTAATGTTTATCAAATATTTACAATTTACTGTTGATGTAACTATATAAAATAAATGAAAAGAAGCCAGTAACTGAGAAATAATAGATTCAGGCTCACACCTAAGGATTACTCCCACCTGTGACCATCCAGCCTCCAGGGTATTTTTGTATCTGCAGTAGTTCTAGCTACTGTTGATCATCGGTTTGTTCCAAAAGGACCTAGTCTGAGAGGAGGAGATACAGATTTACTGGCTTTATTATCCATTATATACTTTACCCTCAAATTTTACTCTGTTTACAGTGCTCAGTGACTTGTGGAGTTGGGGTAATGGAGAGAAGAGTGGAATGCATGGCCGAAAATGGTTGGTCCAGTGACTTATGTTTAAAGCACTTAAAACCAGACGCTCAAAGGAAATGTTATGTTAATGACTGTAAGTACTAGACTTCAAAAATCTACTTAGGAACACTCTAAGTGTTTTAACTGAAATTTGAAAATAAATATTTGTAGTAGTCATATGCTCCACAAAATGAAGCGTCTATTTTTTCAGGGTATAACAATATTTGTATGATTGAGTTAAATTCATGCTGTATTTGTAATGTGTTCATAGTTGATAAGTTGTATTCACTTGTCCTTGAAGGTAAAACATTTACTAGCTGCAAAGAAATCCAAGTGAAAAACAACATTACCAGGGATGGTGACTATTACCTTAACATTAAGGGAAGAATAATCAAGGTATTATGAAAACAGTTCCTATTTGATTTTGACGTTGACCGTTCACTTTGGAAAAAGCTTTTCTAGATGTTTGCATTTTCCCTTTAGATCTATTGTGCAGGCATGTACTTGGAGAACCCCAAGGAATATATATCATTGATCAAAGGTGAAGAAGACAACTTTTCTGAAGTGTATGGTTTTAGGTATGAGCTGTGTTTTGGCTTATCCGTGCATTTTTTTTTTTTTTTTTTAAAGATTTTATTTATTCATTTTTTTCCCCCCAAAGCCCCAGCAGATAGTTGTATGTCATAGGTTCACATCCTTCTAGTTGCTGTACGTGGGACTCGGCCTCGCGCTGGACGGAGAAGTGGTGCCTTGGGGCGCGCCCGGGATCCGAACCCGGGCCGCCAGCATCAGAGCACGCGCACTTAACCGCTAAGCCACAGAGCCGGCCCTATCCGTGCATTTTTATGGTCCTTCAAGAGAATTAGAAGTTCCAGCATTCAGAGTGATACTTGAACGGCTCGCAAGTGGACAAGTAATTTAGGAGCAGGTGGACATATTAGGACCTAAGCCAGATCTTGTCCATGCTTGTTCAATAATCAAGACTTGAGTATTGACATGTGCTCACAGAGAGACTGACTAAGAGGGATACTGTGGGTGAGCAGCGGGACAAGAGGGAAGGAAAGAATGTAAGACCTGTGTGTGTTTTCATATAAATCAAATTAACTCCAGTAACAAAAGCTAGCAGAACTAGAGCTGCATTATTTTTCCACAAACTCGTCTTGAATTTCCTGTCGAGAATTTTGTAGGCTAACCTGGAGTAATTTTTACTACTTTCTCGTTTAACTTGTTGACACTACAATATTGAAGAGTGTGTACTTTACCTTCCCACTTCCAAAGTTTACCATTTATCTAAATTATGGGCTAATAACTGTATCCAATACTAAATATATTCTAATGTTGTTACAGACTACAAAATCCATATGAATGTCCTTTTAATGGAAGTAGGAGGCAAGACTGTCAGTGTAAAAATGACTACCTGGCTGCTGGACACACCGTTTTCAGCAAAATAAGAATTGATCTCACTTCCATGCAAGTTAAAAGTAAGTGCTGAATCTCTATTTGTAAAATGAAATGCCTCTATTTGCTAATGAAAGTCTAACAATATGTGATAGCCAGGGTATAGAGAAGGACCTAGCATTGTGCAATAATTACTTAAATTTTTTTTTAAGTTATTAGCTACATACTTCCTCTACAATGACATGGACCATGGGGACCCCTAATAAAAACATAGTGTAATGACAGTGATAAGATACTGCCCTTCCAAGATATAACCCTCTACCTTAAAATGCCCTATTATATTAAAGATAAGGAAGTTAATACCTTCAATGTAGTTGTATAAGCTTTTCACAGGGCTTAAATTAATAATTAACATTAGTTTCAGATTATAATTTGTCTAGTATTTTCCCACAAATTGTGTCATTTGATCTTTGTAACAACTCTGTATGAGTTAAGGTAGAATTGCATCCGTTGTTGTGACCGATGCAATTAAGATACACTTATAGACGTTAAGTGACTTGTCTCAATTCATCCAGTTAATAACTGGCCTTGTGGGAAGATAAAGTCCCACCCACAGATCCCAGATTATGGACCTGCTGCCTTTCTGGAAAGTAATTAATAATACAGCCAAGTCAAAATATATTTATGGAACCTAATATACACTGAGCATAATGCAGCCTGCCATCCTGGAAGTTACATATCTACATGAAAAGGCAAAGAAATTCATTTCGGAAGCAAAAACTCTAAATCGCAATTGAATCATCAGTGCTTAGCATAGTACATAAACCATAAAAATATATTAAAAAATGCTTATTGAGACAGTGAATATATGAATACATAATCTCTAAATCACAGTCATATGATGATGAACTATAATTGTTAGTAACAATTTACTACCATTTACTGAACACCCACCATTACTATAGTGGGGAAGCATTATACTGTTACAGTTATGATCATAATCTCTGGAGTTAGACTGTCTGGGTGTAAATTCTTTGCCACCATTTTGCAGTTCTGTGACCTTGGGCATCTCTCTTTAAGCCTAAATTCCCTCACCTATAAAATGATAAGCTGCCTCTCAGGTTTTTTCTTTACTTCTTTTTTCCCTTTTTTCTTTTTTTTTTTTTTTAATGAAGATTAAGAGGCAATACTTGTAACATATCTAGTAAATACCTTGCATATAGTAAATACTCTATAATACTAGTTATTATTAAATAATAATGTATGTTGTGTCAGGTAATTAGCATTGCTAAGGACATAACAGACACTTGGTAATTTATTTGCTGTTGATTAAGCTGTTATTTTTCATTAATTTATCAAACAAACCTGCCATTTGGCCAGGCATTGGGCTGGTCCCTGAGCACACAGTGTTAAATGTACATATTTTCAACTTCCTGGTCTCTCTTTTCCTTCCTCAAGCTTGTGTGGCAGAAAAAAAAAAAAAAAAATTAAACCCAGTCTTGATTAAATTAAACCTTTCACCTGCTTTGTGCATGCACTGCGGAACTGAGGGCAGCAAATAATACACGGCCCTTCTGACTGAGCTCGCTTTAAATGCGTGACTACTGGTTTATGTGGACCGGACCCTTCTTGCTGCGGAGTAATCCTACAGCACTCCCCTAGTCCATTCCCTCACCCTGTCCCCTAAAATGTCTAACTCACATCTTCTCCTCTAGCTTCTAGTTTCTAACCTCCCCACTCTATTCACTCATTGCTGACGATCTTCCTGACGATCTTCCTTCCGATCTTACTGAGAAAATATGGACAAGAAGAAGGGAATTTCCACAAACTGCCACTGCCACCTCTAGGAACCTATCTAAATCTTTTCTCTGTGCTTTGCATTCTGTCACATTTACTGTGGATGAACTAGACCCGCTCCCATGTAAGGCAAACCTTTCTAACTTGTGCTCTAGGCTCATCGCTTTGCACCTTCTCGAGAACATTTATTTCAGCAAATTTTCCTTTCTCTCTTACATCACTGGTTTTTCCTCCATTTCTCTAAATCCAATGACACTGCTGTGGACTGAAGTGTGTCCCCCGAAATTCATACAATGAAGCCCTAATCCTCAATGTGATGGTATTTGTTCATGTGCAGATGATTAGGTTTGGATGAGGTCATGAGGATGGGGCCTTCATGATGGGATTTGGTGCCCTTGTAAAAAGAGGAAAAGACACCAGAGCTCTTTCCCTGCTATGTGAGGACATAGCAAGAAGATGACCATCTGCAAGCCCGGAAGACCAGAACCCCACCCTACTGGCACTCTGATCTCAGACTTCCAGCCTCCAGAACTATGAGAAATAAGTTTCTGTTGTTTAAACAACCCAGTCTGTGATAGTTTGTTATGGCCGCTGGAGTTAAGACACATCCCAAGTCTCACTTTCTCACTACCTCATTTGCTACCACCTTGGTCCAAGTCCAAATCATTTTTTCACCTGGATTATTATGCCCACTGACTGGTACTCCTGTTTCAGTATTGTGCCATTCTCCCCGTTCCTGATCTAGATTCTCTTCTCAACAGAGAAGCCAGAGTCACCCCTTAAAAGATAAGCCATGTCATGTCTTATACATGATCTCATTTCATCTTTTTAGCGACCCTGAGCTCTGCTCAAAACTCTGCAAACATTTCCTATCTAACTCAGAGTAACATGGAGAATCCTTTTACTGGTCGACAAAACTCAGCATGACCTCCCCACCTCCATTACTTCTCTGCCCCCTCCCTCCACACTCCCCCCTTGCACACTCTGCTCCAGACACACATGCTTCTTTGCTGTTCCTTGAACATATCAAGCACGCCACCACGTTAAGGCCTTTGCACTTTCTATTATGCTGCCTGGAACGGTTGTCTCACAGTTTTCTGTAGGGTTTATCCCTTCATTTCTTTCAGGTCTCTGACTAAATTTACCTTCTCAATGAGTCCATCCTGGACCACTCTCCACTCCTAACTCCCTTTCTCCTTGTCCTTTTTCTGCTTCATTTTTTTTTTCTGTAGCAATTATCACCCCTAACATGTGATAATATTGACTTTATTATTAGTCTCTCTCTGATAGTGTTTAGGTTCCATCAGCCTTTGTTTCATCCACCGTTATGTTCTTATAGTACTTATAATAATGTCCAATGCATAATAGGTTCTAAACAAATATCTATTTTAATTTCCCTCAAAAAACTATCTTGAGGAAATCTTGAAGACAAATTTGAATTAACCAAAGTGGGGAAAAGGAGTTTCAAGAAGCATCTTTGTTCTATCAGAGAATAAAAAGTAGTGCACTTTTGTCTAAGCATAAATTGAAAGAAGGTTGAGGGACGGTAACTTGTTAGAGAAGTTTCCAGGAAGCAGATCTTGAAGAACAATGTATACTAAACTATACAGTTGAATTTTATCTTGTAAGTTATGGGAACCACTGCAGTCAAATTATAAGCATGGGAGGGAACAGACTTGGTTGGAGGGACAAGAAATTGTATCCATGAAGATAATTAGGAAGCTAACCTAATAATTTGGATAGAAAGTGATAGGGCCTAAGCTAAGGACATTGTTCAGAATGGAGAGCCATCTGAGAAATATTAAAGAGGTAGAGACTCTATAAGACTTTTAGACAGAAGGAATATGGGGATTAGTGACATGGAATACTTAGAGAGATTTCCAAGTTGACTGGGTGGATGGTGATATAGTTCAGTAAGATGAGAAATATAGCAGGGGGAAGAAGTTTGGAGAAAAGATAATGCATTTAACTTTGGACATGTTAAGTTAGAGCTATCTGTGGGCATCCAGGTAACGATGCAGGAAATAGTAGCAAAGGGTGATTAGATAGTTGTGTCTGCTCTGCTCCAGCCTGATGCATAAGTATTATGCCTAAGCAGTGGCAGTGGACAAATGTTTAACAACCAGCTCTCCAAGAAAAAGAAAATCTGTTTTATAGTATTTACCAATTTCCTTGGTGTATATATTCCCACTGTGGCTAATTTTAAGCTACCAATGTGACCTCCCTGTACGTGGAGTTGAGAAGAGACACACACAATTGGGTCTCATGATTTGGTACAAGCTGACTCTGGCACGCCACCGAAGGCCTCCTAGTTTTGGAAACTGTCCTTGGAGTAATGATATTTCCAGAAATGCTACCTTTGGGGATAGCCTCTAGGGGACTGGGATCATCATGGGGGCATACAGTGATCTGGCAGTCCTCTTGAAAAGTGAAGTGATTTGAAACAACATCAGTGGAGGTGAGAGCCACTAGCTGGGTGATCATTGGTTGGGATACTGTTTAAGTGATTCAAGTATGAATAAGTGATTGGACCAGCTGACTTTTAGGGTTTCTTCCAAACTGTTTTTGATCCAATGACTCTATTTTTGATATCTTAGATAGAATCCCCAGAATTATTGCAAATCAGGAAATTTTGCTAATAACATTAGCAAAAGTTATTATTGAAAAGAATAAAATAATAATATATATAATGCAATAATAGAAGGAATCAAAGAAAATAGCACACTTTTTAGCTGATGTTTTTGAATTGCCTAAATGAATTGATATATATACCATCTATAAGCACCCGCGTGTTGCTTTATCATAATTTTTTTTTTTATTTTTTTTTATTTTTATTTTTTACCCCCAAAGCCCCATTGGATAGTTGTGTGTCGTAGCTGCACATCCTTCTAGTTGCTGTATGTGGGACTCGGCCTCAGGATGAACGGAGAAGTGGTGCCTCGATGCGCACCCGGGATCCGAACCCGGGCCACCAGCATCGCAGCGCGAGCACTTAACCACCAAGCCACAGGGCCGGCCCTATCATAATTTATTTACCTTTAAATAATGTTTTTTCTTCTGTAATTTTGCTCATGACCTGACTTTATCTATTTTAGATATCACTATGATATAAGATATAATAAAGCATTTATTTAGTTTTTAAAACTTTTGGATGAGTTATGATATACCTGCCATTTTTAGGGTAATTTATGAGATGAACATTTCTGTATTAAAGAAAAATTATTTATTGAGAGCCTGATCTCTGTTACCTACAATAATTGTGCGGCATTTTTGAATTAATTATATAAATATATTTAAGAATATAATATGAAGACTTTATGTTTTGCAATGAAGATCGGAAAATATACAATGTCTCCATGTTAAAGAGTTTTGTTATTTTCTAGCTACAGACCTTCTTTTTGCTCAGACAATATTTGGAAAAGCAGTTCCATTTGCCACAGCTGGAGATTGCTACAGTGCTGCCAGATGCCCACAGGTATTTCATATTTGTTTATTTTTCCTTCAATATCAAAAAATTGATACTATTTCTCTTCATTCATTTTCTTGACCAGAATATTGCAAGAAGCATAAATCATAGAAAATGCAAAGCTTCTCATATGAGCTTTATTTCAAAGGTTATAGATAAACTTTGGAGGAAAAGTATCTTTGCTAATTTGGGGTTTGTTTGAAAGGTATAATAATAAGAATTTTAAATTGTTTAGATCCTATTTCTCTTTCCATGATGCTTTATCATTTTTAATATTTCCACTTAGAACATGTAAATGAATGGATATATATTACACTGTAAAGGAATGGATCACAAGCATGTAACTTGCATACACTGCTGCTAACATCAGTTATATTAGTTGTCTGGGTCTGTCACATTCCCAGCATAACTTTCTATTATCTGTGAAATAGGACATTTCCATGTATTTATTCTTGTTTTAATCCTTTTTTTCCAGAGTTCTCTTCACACACCCTTTTTGTGATCTCTGTGATTTCCGGTATAGAGTGTGCTTCCTAGAAGAAATTTACTATCTCATTTTTAACAAGAGACTTTATAAAGTCTGTATGAACAACATTTTTATGATAAGATGGAGAGATGTATGCTAGATGAATATAGTATTGTTAGGTAGATTCATAGCTAATTGAGTAATCATGCACAAGAGATAGTAATTATACTATTGATATCATTTTGAAGAGAAGTAGTCTCAGAATTTCCCATTTACAATTTTCATCATATGACATAGAAGGCATGCTTATGTTAGAAAGAGGGTGTTTTCTATATTAGAGAAAGAGACTTAAAGGAGATGAAAAGACACTAGAACTACAGCTGAAATGAATAAGAAAAAAATTAATTGGAATAAATATATAATCTTAGGTCCAGAAACACGAATGGAACCTGGCGACATCGTATGAAAAAGAACTAGGTGTTTTATTCAACCACCGGGAGTTCATTATGACTTATGTAGAGCCTGGAATGATTTCTAAACAACATAATATAATCATAAAGTACCAAAACACAGTGTTGAGACCAAAAGATTTATTTGTGCCCGGCAATGGAATTTGTTTATAAATTTTTTTTTAATTTTAAATTATATTTTTAATCTGTCTAGGTGTAGGAGGAAACAACCTGGAAATAAAGGATGGTTTAAATCATGTCAAGTAAAGAAAATGAAGAAGGTAGCCAAGGAAAAGAGTGGGAGGTTATGTGAACTATCTTTAAATATGTAAAGAGCTCCATGCAAGAGGAGTGGGGTCAGTGTGTGTTACTCCAGGGGTCATTAATAGGACAGCGGATTCCAGATCAAGATAAAGAAGGCTTTTTACAGGGAGAATTGTCTAGTAAAGGGATCCCTAAATCTGGGGCCAAATAAATCACCACTTTTTGCCTATATTCTTACAAATTGATCTTTCTTCCTGCAACCTTACTGAACTCATTTATTCGTTGTGATAGTTTTTTAGTGGATTCCTTAGGACTTTCTAGATACACAATGATGTCATCTGCAAATAAAGATAGTTTTATTTCTTCCTTTGCAATCTGGATGCCTTGTATTTCTTTACCTTGCCTCTTTACTCTGTCTGAAACTTCCAGTATAGTGTTGAATAGAAGTGATGAGAGTGGACATCCTTGTCTTGTTCCTGATTTTAGAGGAAAAGCATTTGGTCCTTCATCATTAAGGGTGTTAGCTGTGAGCATTTTGTAGATGCCTCTGATCAGATGGAGGAAGTGCCCTTCTATTCCCAATGTTAAGTGGTTTTTTATCATGAAAGTGTTGGATTTTGTCAAATGCTTCTGCTTCCATTGAGATCATCCTGTAGTTCTTGTCCATTACTGATTGATTTCTCTATGTTGAAACAATCTTGCATTCCTAGGATAAATCCCACCTGGTCATGGTGTGTAATCCTTGTTATATGTTGCTAGATTTCTTTTGCTTTGTTGAGAATTTTTCATCTATATTCATAAGAGATATTGGTCTATCATGTTTTTTATGTGTGATAGCCTTGTCTGGTTTTTGGTATCAGGGAAATAGTGGCCTCATAGAATACATTGAGAAGTATTCCATCCTCTTCTACTTTTTTAGGAGAGTTTGTGAAGAATTAATTCTTTAAATATTTGGTACAATTCACCAGCAAAGCCGTCTGAGCCTGGGCTTTTCTTTGTGAAAGCTGTTTTAGTTACTAATTCAATCTCTTTACTTATTATAGATCTATTTAGATTATTTAGTTCTTGATTCAGTTTTAGTAGTTTATGTCTTTTTACGAATTTGTCCATTTCATCAGTTATCTAATTGGTTGGCATACAATTGTTCATAGTATTCCCTTATAATCCTTCACATTTCTGTAAGATTCACAGTTATGTCCCCTCTTTCATTCCTGATTTTAGTAATCTCAGTCTCCTTCCCTTTTTCTTGGTTGGTTTGTCAATTTTGTTCTTCTTTTCAAAAAAACCAACTTTTGATTTTGTTAATTTTCCCTATTATTTTTTTATTCTTGATTTTATCAATTTCCACTCTATTCTTTATTGTTCCTTTCCTTCTGCTTGCTTCAGATTTAATTTGCTCTTTTTTTTCCAGTGTCTTAAGGTGGAAATTTAGGTGATTGGTATGAAACGTTTTTTCTCTTTTAAGATAGACATTTGCAGCTATAAATTTCCCTTTAAGCACGTCTTTCATTGCATCCCCAAACTTTTCGTATGTTGTGTATTCATTTTCATTCACCTTAAAATATTTTCTATTATCACTTATGATGTCTTCTTTGGTCCATTGGTTATTTAAGGGTGTTTAATCCCTGTACATTTAAGGATGTTTAATCCCTGTATATTTGTGTATTTCACAAGTTTCCTTCTGTTACTGATTTCTACTTTCATTCCATTGTGGTTGGAAAACACACTGTGTTTTATTTCAATCCTTTTAAATCTATTGAGGCTTGTTTTATGGTGTAGCATATGGCTATCCTGGAAAATGTTCAATATGTGCTTGGAAAGAATGTATATTCTGTTGTTGTTGGGCAAAGAGTTCTATAGATGTCTGTCAGGCCTAGTTGGTTTACAGTGCTGTTCAACTCTTCCATTGTCTTATTGATCTTCTGCCTAGTTGTTCTATCCACTGAAACTCTGCAACTATTATGGTTAAGTTGTCTATTTCTCACTTCAATTATATTGTTTCATTTACTTTGTATTTGATTCATTTACTCTGGGGTTTTGTTGCACGTGATTTGATTATATATTTAGAATTCTCATAATTTCCTGATATATTGACCCTTTTATCATGAAAATTTATGTTTCTTTTTATCTTAGTAACTTTTTTTGGTGTTAAAGTCTAATTTATCTGGTATTAGAATGGCTCCTCAGCCCTTTTATAAAGTAGTGTATATGTTTTCATCTCATTTACTTTTGACCTATTATATCTTTGGCTCTTAAGAGTGTCTCCTATAGAGAGCATTTTGTTGGATCTCTGCCTTTTGATTGGATTGTTTAATGTTATTACTGATGTGCCTCAATTTACATTTGCCATTTTACTTTTTGTTTTCTATATGTCTTATGTTGTTTTTGTTCCTCTGTTCCTCCTTTACTGCTTTCTTTTTTATTTGGTGAGTGTTTTCTAGTGTAACATCTTAATTTCATTAACAATTTTTTTGCTATATTTTTTTGAATTGCTTTCTTAATGGTTGCTCTAGGGCTTAAAAAATGCATCTTAGCTCATCAGAATCTACTTCAAATTTATACTACCTAATTCCAGTGAAATATAGAAGTATTACTCTTATAAATGCTCTATTTCCTCTTCCCTTTTTTGTCTTATATTTGTTATACATACACCATCTACATATATAACAAACCCATGATACATTTTGATAATATTACTTTATATAATTTTATGCCTTTTAGAGAATATGAGAGAATAATGAGATAAATTATATATTCATAAAGTTTTTTGTATGAAATTCTTTATTTAGCATTTCTGTTTCTCTTTGTTTGATGTGAGTTACCAGCTGGTTTCATTTCCTTACTCCAAAACAGCTTTACTTCCATCTGCCTCATTTGTGCCATTATTATCAAATATATTACACTTCTATATATTACAGCTCAATAATATAATTATATACTTATTGGTTTATACAATTGCTTTTTAAATCAGTTAAGAGAAGAAAGGAAAAGAAACATGCAGTTATAGTGTCTTTTATAATTACCTACACAAGTACCTTTACCAGCACTCTTTGGTTGTTTTGTGTTGATTTGTGTTAATGTCTGGTGTCACTTGATTTCAGCCTGAAGAACTTCTTTTAGTGTGTTTTATACAACAGGTCTATTAGTAACAAATCCTCTCAATTTTGTATATATGGGAATGTCTTTATTTTGCCTTCATTCTTGAAAGATTGATTTGCTTGTTATAAAATTCTTGATTTGCAGTTTTTATTTTTCAGCACTTTAAATACGTCATCCTGCCATCCTATGGCTTCTAGATAAGCAATAGAAGTTAGCTATATATCTTACTGAGGTTCCGATATATGTGGTTATTTTTATCCGGTGCTTTCAGATTTTCTCTTTGTCTTCAGCTTTCCACATCTTTACCATGACTTATTTGGATGGGTATCTCTTTGTGTCTACCCAATTTGTAGTCTATTGATCTTCTTGGATGTGTAGATTAATGCATTTCACCAAATCTGGAAAATTTTCAGTTGTTATTTCTTCAAATATATTCTCTGCTCTGTTCTCTTCTCTCCTTTTGGTACTCTCATTATGCATATGGTGACACACCTAATGGTGTCCCTTTGCTTCTCTGAGGCTCTGTTCATTTTTCTTCATTCTTTTCTCTCTCTGTTTTTCAGGTTAGATCATCACTATTGATTTTTGCTGATTTTTTTCTTCTGCCAGCTCCAATCTACTGTTTGAGCCCCTCTAGTAAATTTTTATTTTGGTTATTGTACTTTTCAACTCCAGAATTGTCCTTCGGCTCTCTTTGTAAACATAATTTCTATCTCTTTATTGGCATTCTC